GCTGGGCTGATTCTGGTCATTGACCCATGATTAATCTCGTGAAATGAGGTCATTACTGCGTTTTTCAGAGAATCTGTCCGATGAAAAGTGAATGGGGTATGACCCCATTCGTGAGAAATCAACCAAGAAATGACTGAATTTCTGGAATTTCCACTTCTCAATACAATTCGATTTATATTTCAATATTATTGATATAGTAATTAGCGCTGCACAGCCATTCCACATTCCTTGTTGGATGGCAGCTACATCGATGAAGATCCAGCAACCTAGCTTTCAATTCCTGTCCTCACGTTGGCCATGATAAAACTAACGTCTGGCCATCTTTTCCGTGGTTGGTTTTGATGCATCTCATGTCTAAACACAATTGCCATCACGAGAGTTGTTCGAGAACAGTGGTGGCTGGCAGCTATCCATGTCTCATTGGCTCATTGCATAACAAGTCAGGGCTCTGAACAACTAGGATCTGCATGTGAGTACAACAATCAGTTGGCGCTAGTGCTCAATCTATCAACCCGGTCATATCGAGCTTACCACCTTCATGAAGTACAACAAATATTAGAGATCTACCATGATGTCTCTGTTGGCCAATCGACTATCTAGCGAGGCCCGAAGGTCTCAACGGGTTCACAGCTGGAATGGTTGTGCAGCGCTAATTACTATATTGAAATATAATTCGGACTGTATTGAAAGGTGGAAATTCCAGAAATTTGGTCATTTCTTGGTTGATTTCTCACGAATGGGGTCATACCCCATTCATTTTTCATCGGACAGATTCTCTGAAAAACGCAGTAAACAACAATCAAATTTTGGGGATTTTTTATTTTCAATACAGTTAGGATTGTATTGTAATATAGTACGTTAGCGCTGCACTGCCATTCTAAGCTGCCATGCTTGAGCACTTTTAGGACAGAAAATAACATCATTATTCTAACAATCATCTGAGCCAAATGGTTAAGTCAGCCAGGGGTTCGGATAGAACAGATGAAGTCGTTGGATGTGGCTGTTGTGTATGCTCGCTCTTGAATATTCCTTCGACGCTGAGAGCGGGGATATAGAGTACCTGAGAAAGAGACATTGGGATTGAAAAATAGATCCAGAGCATGTTACATACTTAGTGCCTTGGACAAAGAAGTCCCAACAACATGCTATTGGAATTATGAACTAGTCGCAAATTAGCGCTCAGTTCCAAAGATGTGAACTATTGTTATTAATCATTACCTAGTCGCGAATTAGCGCTAGGAAATATACACAACATTAGACAATATTCCAAGTGATGAAAAGGGAGTCTCACCTCAGTTCCAAAGATGTGAACTGAGGAGAGAGGAAAGAGAAAAATCGCGCAAGGTGGCTTTTAAGTCATCCTCGACTGCGTTCATCAACATGGATGCCAAAAGTAGAAGCATCGGGCAATCCTTCATGGAAATGCCCATGCGCAAGATGTATAGTCCGACGGACTCAATGGATGGTCCACAGTGTACCAAGAAAAACAAGGATTTCAACACATGCTTGGTGTCAGGGACCGACCCGGGGTCGAGAGCACCCGGGTGTATCGCCCGAGGCTGAGGGTCCGGTAGGTATGACGCGGGCGCGCATAACAACGGGCCCGAAGCAGACAAGGGTCCCTGGCCACTGAGACTAAAGTGGGAAATGTGTTATTGTTATTATCAGGGGAAGTGTAAGCTACTTGCCTAAAGTGGGAAATGTGAGAAGAAGGTTGCTTCTCAGTTCCCACTTAGGCTGTGTTTATATACATGTGGTTGAAGGCCACGTGGGAAGCGCCACGTCATCCAAGCACACAGCCACCTCCATCCGGGTACCTCCGTAAGAGGTCCTAGGAGCGTCTGGTATGCGGGGGGTCGTCCGGTGTGTCCGGGTTCGGGCGCATTACACTGCAGCCGGGTCAATGGTACATTGATACAAAGGAAGTCGTCTGTGTGATAAGAAAGGAATAAAGAGGAGAGAGAATAGAAAAGAAGGGGAAGAAGAAAGGCAAGGGAAAAGAGGGGGAGGTCGGGAGGAGCGGATGGTGGGGCACCAGGTTAGGTGGGGCCGGGTCAGGCGGGTGTGCCCTGACACTTGGGTACCAGGTGGTGCCCCAGCCATGCAAGTGCGAAGAAGTGTTGTGGTTGCAACCAGTTTCAACAACAAAAACAAGCTGATCCACTTGATAATGCTGACCCATATACTGCCTAAATGCGGCACATAGTTCTTCATTCGGGTTCAAAAGCCGGCTTTTGCTCGTAAGGAACAAACTCTTCAGAATGTTGACCTTTTTATACGTGAAACCTCGCTGCTTCAGGCTGGTCCAGATTGTACTCTGGAAGACAGAGATGCGGTGCCATGTCTCTTTGTAGTTCGTGGATGCACGGGTCTGCCTCAAGCTCAAGGTGACCTACTTGGGAGATTCAGCGAAATCAACTGATGGCTGTGATTTATCCTGCTCACATCCAGATCCCAGTTGTTAAATTTTTGAGCACCCCCGCAGTTTCCAGCTTTCTCAAAGGGGATTCCTTGACTATGAGCTAAGATGACACAGTAAACCATGCGCTTACTGAGTTGGGCAGCCCTTTGGTAGAGGATTTGGGACATTAGGGTGATAAGGCGCTTCACCTCTGGAGTAGTACGTTTGGTAATGCGTTGATGCATGGAGGTCCAGAGCCAAACAGTGTGTTTATGCGGTTCATCAGTGCTGCAGTCGTCATCAATGATTACCAATGGGGAATGCAGAATGGCAGTGCAGCGCTAACATACTATATTGCAATACAATCCTAACTGTATTGAAAATAAAAGGTCCCCGAAATTTGCTCATTTTTGGGCCTGATTTCTGACAAACATACTGTACTGGCATGACCAACAACCGGTCACGCATCACGCTGACCCTGCTGGTCGGCATTTTTTCACGCAGGCCTGCCAGCCCAATGTCCGGCATTGAGTAGAATCCAGTGGCTGTGCAAGCTTTCAATTCAAAATTTCCAACCACATCGTTAAAAGCGTGTCTGTCTCCAGATTTCTCGCCTGTTTAAGCCGCTTACCCCATCCCAACTCACCACTACCAACTTCAGACCCAACTACCACAGTGAATTCTCCAATGGATTGTCAGCATCAACTGAAGGCCACCATTCACGTCGGCAAGGGTTCCGGTGTCGAGATGTTCATAAACCTCCTCCAACATCACCTCCACATCATCCTCTATGGCTTCTGAGAATTGTCCTTCATGTACTACCGTAGTAGAGTTAGGATGAATCTCACTGTCACCAGTAGGATGCTTGCATATTGAGAACAGCCTGTAGCAACCAATGAGAAATATAGGGGTGTTGTTGTATGTGATAGTTTCCTCAGCACAAGCCACGGGCAGAAAATTTTCCATGAGAATTTCCATTTCAAAATTCAAATATTATCAAATTCTCTTGGATATAAGACAGAAAACCTGTTGTCCGAGGGGTTGTGTCACGCAGTTCTGGCCTCGGCCTGTTGGCTGTCACGCATCACTCAAGCTTGCCGGTCGGATGTCCGGTGTCACGCTCCAAACTGGACGATGCGTGACCGGTTGTTGGTCAGTATTGATACCCCATTCACTTGGAAATTGACAAATTCCCGCTACTCTGTAGCGGGTCTTGAATGCTTAAACTGAATGCCCGTGCAAGAGGTCCTCTATTATTGCGAATTCCCTTGCTATCCAGGGTCCTTATCTTGATTTGTAAGCCAAGTTCCATATCCTCGTTTTAAAAGCTCGCCCTTCATGCCATGCTCCATGCTTCACTACCCATTTTCGCTTTCACAGCCTTATCCAACGTTTCCCTAATGTTTGTCACCAATGTTGTCATCACCCATTACACGGTCATTTGCGGTTGCGGAAAATGACTCAGTGCTACTCAGTGCCACAAGGTTTTGAGCTGTAAGACAGATGAACTTATGTGAGCCTCCTGTTCTTTCACGCAAACTTGTGCTAGTAGGATTTACAGACGGATTAATGCACAGATGTTATGTTTGCTGGGCCCTGATGTTACGCACCTGGGTGGTGACTGTCTACCTAAGTCCACAAGCAAAGCCTAGTACCCTACCTGTCGGTGTAGGTCCCAATCTGGGAGGACCATAGCCTTCGAACACAGGCCACATCTTGGCCAGAATGCGAACCTTTAAACAATCCTCATGAAAAAAGCATCTTGTTGCACATTCAAACCCACCTCGCGTTAAACCAATCAGGGCCCGGCCCTGAACGGACTCACTCATGCAGTCGCTATGGACAGCTCACTGTGCAACTTAACACTCAATTTTGATGCATTGCAACCCGCATCCTGAATGCCACTCTTGTTGTTTCAAATCAAGCTAGGACTTTGGGAGTTGTCTTGCCGGGTGAGTAACATCAGCGCCCAGCGAACATAACATCCGTGCATTAATCCGTCTGTAAATCCTACTAGCACAAGTTTGCGCGAAAGAACAGGAGGCTCACATAAGTTCATCTGTCTTACAGCTCAAAACCTTGTGGCACTGAGTAGCACTGAGTCATTTTCCGCAACCGCAAATGACCATGTAATGGGTGATGACAACATTGGCGACAAACATTAGGGAAACGTTGGATAAGGCTGTGAAAGCGAATTTGATCACCACAGCATATGCTGGTAGAGCAGATACCAATGTACCACAGGCCCACAGCACACAGTGACACAAGTTTAGCTATTCGATCCTTAGACAATGGTTCATTCCCACTTCTACGGATGTTCACATGTGGGTGGCCCACTGCTGAAAGAGAAGAAAGACTGGGGGATTTGGCAGGGGGATTTGGGACAGCACTGTAAATCACAATGTTAAATTCAACCTTGCCTCCATGGCCGTCAGATAAGAGAACCGATAAGAGTAGTGGGTAATGCCGCTACAGGTGGCATCCATCAGTTATTCCCTCAAAAACGCAGTAATATTCTTATTTCACATGACTAATCATGACGGTAACTAGCACTGAATGGTGCCGCATGGTCCTGCGTTTTTGCAGCGCTGATGGGACTTTACTGGTCCTCGTGTTTCAATGTCTTCACGTGTCTTTCAACATGCATTTTCCCTTCTCCCCACTCCCTCAGCGCTGCCTTTGCATTTGCTCCATCGGGACTGGTAAGTCCTCGGTTGCAACGGGGCCGGAAACTTACATGTGCGCTTCAGACAAGCCGTCTGCATTGAAGTTTCCCTCAACCTTTTGTTGCGCTGTGCATCCTAGTGAGTTCACCTCACCCGTGCATACTCCTTGTGGAGTCTTACTGCGGCACTTGTGCTGCCTCAGTTCAGCAGCTAGCGTTTGCTCTTTCGTCTGTTGGAGGACCTTGTCCTCTATTATTGCCAATTCTAGATAACCCGGGGTCCTCCCAACTCACTAACCAATTTCTCTTATACCGCACCACTCTCATGCCGTTTACTCTGCCTTCCCCCCTGCTCTTTGCACTATCGTCCCACTGTGCTGCTTCTCTCATGCTTTCCGGACCGCCGCTACCTTCCAGTTCCTCCACCGTTTGTGTCGCATATTCGTGATCGCCTACTTGCGCATATTCTGTTTGGCGACTGTTACCAAATTCCCATCGGGCCTGCCCCTTTCCCTGCATGCGTCCATCTTTGCATCCGATATTGTCGCCATTCTCTCCCTGTTCCACCCCCCAACCCACCCCACGTTCTCCTTGGACACCATCCTTCATTCAAGTCGTGGCCAGAGAGGAAAAGAGAAAAGAAAATAAAGAAAAATGGAATGGCACTTCCACCCGGAGCCTTTGAACACCTCGAGGGATGTGCTCTCATCCCCTTGAACCGAGGCGTCGGGACCTCCAGGGAGCATCGGAAGTGTAGGGGAATAAAGGAAAGGGAAATTGAAAAAGAACAAAATGGAGCAAACACTGCGGGAATGATGGAGAATGAGTGTGTCTTATAAATGACTGATGAATCTATGGAAATCAAAGGTGCGCACCAAAATGGCCTTTCTGAAGCCCAATCCGAGGGAAGGAGTCATCGATCAGAAAACCAGCCTCGTGAAGTGGAGAGGGAACCCACGTGTCCTGTCCCATATCCAGCCACTCCTAAGAAAAAAATAATCAAACGACATTCCACACTCCCCAGAGGGAGAAACCAATAAGGAGGCCATCAAAACTCACCAGTCTTAGCTCGGTTCCCCAGCCAAAATCTTACCGCCCAGCAAAAATATTAACTCACCCGGCACATCCCCATGCAAAGCCTGATGGATGTCGATGACAGGGATGCAATGAATTCATTGATACCAACAAAGGTGTCCGATCGAGACATGCAATCACAAACTAAGCAACAAATTAAGAAGTTGAGTCACTGACCGTTGACAAAATCACCAAACTTGGTTCCAATCACACCTCCATTAGCTCACTGGAGGGCCGAACGACCACTGTTGATGAACAGAAAGATTAGGAATGAAAGTTTGAGTGAACGCAAAAGCAAGACCAGGCGAACTTGACAGGCTTACAGATACCACCTCATCGCAATGCAAGGATTATCCTACTGGCATCCACCATTATCGTAAGGAACCTCTGCTAATCCAAAGGGAAAATGTTCTCATTAGTACATCCTCATCCTTAAAACGAGGTTGGAGGAAGAAAAAAATAATCCCACTCACGCAAACATGCCATCATCATCAACACCTGGATTGTCACCAGCATTGAACCATCTCCCATCCCAAAACTACCACCAGCGTACCACGTATTCATCCTGATGTCCATTGCGTGTACAATAAGCATCTACTCGGTCGTGAACGCCATTCATTTCCTTACAACATTGTCTATGATACAGACCTTTTGCCTAAAGTAATATGAGATTGCTAGCGAAGCGGGGCAACTCAGTCTCAAGCAAATAATGCGAAAGAGAACTAGAATATATTACCTAGCGAAGCGGGGCAACTAGAGGTAATATACATTATATAAGTATAGGTTGAAATAAAGGAATGATTGTTGCTAACCTCAGTCTCAAGCAAATAATGCGAAAGAGAACTGAGGGAAAAAGTGATTCAAAGAGCGGTAATTCCCATGTAGTTTGGGAGCGGGATAGTCCGAAATGAATACAAAAGAACGAATAAATAGATGTGGCTGGCCGGGCGAGTTCCTCGCTCGGCCGTGGGAATGTGGCTGTACGAAAACTCGCACGGCCGCGCTAGCGCGCTGTTTTCCAACATTGCCATCATAGCCGTTCATCACGATCACATTGGATGTTATGGGGATGGGGAAAATTCCCCATTCCTCGATCCGTTCTTATAGTGGGATGACAAGGGTCATGTCTAGTCTGTACCATAACGGGATATGTAATCGATGAGTGATCCCAGTCTTGCCTGGGAGCGGACGATCGAATTCCCATCGATTGCGATTGGTGATGTAGTGAGCTATTAAGGGATTGATGGTAGGTAGTCGGAGATGCCAGGATGGACGGGTCAGCCACGGGTACTTGGCGCTCCTCAATGGAGCGTACCGTGTGTGAGGATGTGACTTGTGAGATGGGTGAGAACTTCGTATAGTTGCCATCAGGTACTTGGCGTTCGCAGTGCAAACATACCGGTAGCGGGTTGATATCATAAGCGTGCAATGAGGACTGACTAATAGGGCCTTCGGTGACTTGGCATTCCCAAAGGGAACGTACTGTTGGTGGGGGAACATGATGACTGATGAAGGAGGGAACAGATGGTGGATGGGCGGCGACTTGGCGTTCGCGTAGCGAACGTGCCGGCATCACGGGAAAGTGGGCCTCAGAGTGTTCACGATCTCCATGATCGTGATGTGACATCGTAAGTCGAGTACTAGGGGGAGAGCGGAGTGACGAGGACCCATAGGGTACAGGTTCCATAGGACGATACACATGTCGAGAGTCTTCGACTCGCGACCTCGAGTTCTCACGGCGAGGGCCGTTAGAGGACTCGATATAACCAGACTTATAAGACATATTTTGAGAGTTGTACAATCACACAGTTCAGTTGAGTCACAGGGAGGGTTGTTACAGAAGATGGTACACGAGACAGTTGTAGAGCAGTTGTTAGTTAGCGGGAACCGCCTTCAGCGGTTTCCGTACAAGACACGTGACTATCTACAAATGGTAAGGTCGCGGGAAATCCTGCGAAACACACCAAAACCCCAATGGGGAAAGCTTTGCATGAGGGGGGGGAAAGGGGTAGAACGGGTAAGGAGGATAGGGTATCAGGATAGAGGACGGAAGGGAGAAAAAGGGGAGGCACGATAGAGAGAAGAAGTCTTTGACCATGTGACGGATATGGTCGTTGGTGACTCCGTATCCGTAACATTGGATGTGAATAGGAGCAGGCGACAGAGAGAAAAAGATTGTCAGTTAGGTCGTCAAGACAAAGAATGAGTAATGAGGAACAAGGAACGGAGAAGTCGAGGAAGACATCCTCCCCTTTGTCATCGCGATGACCTCAACATGCGATAAACGAGCACCCTGCGGGAAGAACAATAGGACAGGGAAAAAAGGAACCTTGCAAGTTACTTGGCGAGCAAATAAACTACTCACCCACCCGGCCTGCCCAGGAACATCATCTCCGCCGATACACCACTATTCGAAGGAAACAACTCTCATGCCGAGTGCTATTTGTGAGACCAGAGAGGCATAGGACAGAGAGGAAAGAGAGCATCGAGGAAAGTGAGAAAGGCGTGGTGTAGAATCCGTTTGATGAGCTGTTGCAAAAGCGAGGCTGATGGGTGTGCAAGGCACAGGGTAATGTGAATGGAGATGGCATAAGCCAAAAAGCCAAGTGTTGGAGCAAGAGCACAAAGCTGGGGGAGTCAATTGTAGATAGTCGACAATATCATCACGAATAAAGCGTTAGCATTACCAGCAAACATAATGGAGGTAGCAACGCAATTGTCCATGGAAAACAATAGAACAAACAACCTGCGATATTTTTTCACCATGTCACTGAATGGGCATCCCTAAGAGAATGATCGTATTGGAAGGCCATTGGGTGAAAGGGAAAGAGCACTCACTTCATATGTCATTCAAACCACAATGGCCGAGGTGTGTCCCAGAGGCTGATCCACAGCAGAGTTGACTGTCGACTAAGCCTGTCTTGCGGGAGCATGAGTCAAGGCGTGAAAAAAAGAGGAAGACACAGGGTTTGCAAGGTCCCATATCTTTCCCCCAGGGCTCGGGTCCATGGCCCCTCCCCCCTTTCACCACCAACACAACCTCACCGTGAAGAAAATAAAAATTCTCATCGAATTATCCCCCATATATTTCAAAATCCGGGAAATGCCATATATTTATATGTCTACCCTGCGCCGCTTACTGCTTCAGCATGCTGGTCACTGCTCCCCAGCGCTGCCTCTGCAATGTTATGGTTATGACTCCTTCCTTGAAGGACATCTCTGTTTCTGAATTTCCGTCTTGACTCCCCCCCCCAGGTGAGTGCTGATCTTCATCGTCCCTAACTGTGGTTTGTGACTCACAGTGACCAGGTCACTACCGATTTTTCGCGCATTCAAAGGCCGTAAAGGCATGGTATTAGACTACATTTGAGGGGATACATGAAACCGTCCTCATCTGAAGGGGCGGGTTTCTTGGGAAGTGGACCTCCGTTCCGGCTGCGGCGCAATCATGGGTATCGGCGGCACATACCACGACACTTGAAGCAAGAATAAGGGTGTACCTTTGGTTCAAGAAGTTGCACTCCCAGTCACATCTTTGCTTGTATGAGTATCACGCTGATCGTTGTTGGAAACACTGATGCAGAGACGACCTATGCCAGTGGAGCTGAAATTAATATGTCTAAGGAAAGAGTACATATCTAGATCAACTCTGCTCACCTTCATTGGAAACAGACTCAGAGTTGTCGTTGTCCAACCCGGCGCTGCCCGTCTGGCACGGCCGCCATCCAGTTCAGTGTCACTCTCGCTGGGGTCTCCCGTTGTTGCAGTATTGATCCTCCTAGGGGAATACTGACCTGCCTTCACTTGGATGGTGGGGTGGAAAAGCATGTCAGCAGTCGCTTGGAAGACACAAGAGAAATGTGGCGCCTTTTTCGTCAAAAGTATGTCTCGCGATTCTCTTGATTAGGTCCTGAACAGGCCAAGCACCCTCATATTCCGACCCAATTCATAGATTTTCCCCGACGATCTACGTGATGTAGAAGATTGCTTACAGAGTAGTGGGAATTCCCATGCTAACCCAGGGTCCATCTCTTGTCGAAGTTGCGCAACCTGCTTGTCCAGGGACCCCTTCCGATTCACTTGCCCTTTCAACTCTGCCCATTCTATCTTTATCTAACACTCCTCTAATTTCCGTTGCCAATGAAGCCTTCATACATGGAACCTCGACCATCACTGGCCCCAACCACTGGCCCCAACCACTGCTGACTGTCCTGGGCGCAAACTCGATATCCCTGTGGATGCAGATCCTGAGGATGATCACACTACTCTTTATCACCTGCTCGACGAGGAAGGAGTAAGCGACTAGGTAATGACGTGGACATTCTCAGTGCGATTCAACAAGCCACCAATGCTGGTTTATTCATTGACAGCATCACCGAAGAAATCATTGCTGAGTTCACGCTTGATCCACTGATGGCTGCTCCGGGTTCGCAACATGCTTTTGCTCAGCGTGTGGTACTCTGGATCAGTTGCAGTGGTTTGTTGCAGTGGTTTGATGATTACAAGTTACGTAAACAAGCTGCCAAAGTTGCTCTCAAAGCGGCTGGCACTGCTAACCCTTCCTCTACTTCCCCTTCCCAGCTACCCTATGACCTGGGGGCTAATCTAATGAATGAGGACGCGTTCTGTAATCAAACAACGTCTGAGCCAGTGGCCGACATTGTCTTTCTCCCCCTCCCCTCCCCATTCACAAGGTACTTGAGTCCGTTTCTCATACGTTTTCTCTCAACTTGGAGCAAGAACATGCATTTTTTTTTGGTCACAGTCATTTTGCCTTGCGATCGTTATGGATTTTCTCATTCTAGCCGCACCATTTTGGCCCACCCCTTTGCTTGTGTGCCGTCAGCCATTTGCGCCGCAACCACAAACTTTGGCTTATGCAAAGCGCTTGTGGGATAAGGAACTCCCTTTTGACCTTCCCCCCCCATCTTCTAAAATCTAATCATACAATTTGTCTCCAACAACCAACCAACCCGTGGGAACATTCTGGGAGAGCAACTCGCCCAGCATACCCACTGGGCACTGCCACCCGGATGCCCCGGTCATGCTGCACAACTCTTTATATAGCAACAAGGTACCGCATAGGCAAGTGTACATATCTTTTATCATACATCTCATTGCCTGAGGACAGGCAGATGGGAGATGAGGGTCAGGGCACCTCCGAGTCCAAGGCCGGGCCCTGACAATCATGATGCCATTTTTGTCCATCGCAGGAAGGGGCATGCCTTCTGCATCACTCTCTACGTCGATGACCTCATGATCCTATCTAACGTAAGCTTCTTAACACGTCAGGAGGTCTCAACTCATGAAGGCCTTCAAGATGAAGGACCTTGGGGACATTCACTGGTTTTTAGGTTGCACAATCTGCCCCAGCGCCTACTCTTCGTATCTCAGACCCGCTACGTAAAGGACATTCTCTCACATCTTGGTCTTGCTGACTCTCATCCCATTTTCACCCCCATCGCATCCAATTTTAAACTACCTCGATGCTCCTGAAGTCAACGTGCGCGACTACCAATCCCGAGTCGGTAGCATCATGTATGAGATGCTCAGTACACATCCTGATATTGCATATT